GTCCCCGCTGGCGCGCTCGCCTCTCGCGCCACGGACTCGGCTGGCGCAGAATGCCGCACACCACAACACACCGCAATTTAAGGGCGCCCTCGGCCCCAAGCATCACACACGCCGCTTCCGCAAGCGGAACTTTTTGGCGCGGGCCGTATCAGAGACTGGCCGTGTGGGAGTTGGGACAAATAAAGCGGTGCCGGCCCCCAAAGCGCGGTTCACCCGGTGTGTCGTAGGTGTGGAGCATAACGTGCCCTATCGCACTGCCCATCAGGCTCACCATCTTCTCGTAACACACAAACCCCGTTGTCGGCAGCAGTCTCCCGCCACCCTCCTGCGACCCAACAAAGTGTCTCACCAAAAGCTTTTTTCCGACGCCCGTGGAGAGCCAGTGGTGGCGCCTTCCAGCAGGCCGGAAACAAAGAGTGCGGACGGCGGCAGAAAAAGAGGAGACCCCCGCGGCATCGCACCATCTCCTTCCGGCAAACAAAGTCCAGAAGCTGCGTAAAGCTGTACAGCGCATGCAGCGAAATGACGCGCTCTGAGGCATCGGTCAAGAATGCGTTGCCAAAGTCGGCCCCAAACGTTTGCAGAGGCTCCTTCTGCTGCTGAAGAAAGCGCCTGCAAAACGAACGCGTGGAACTCTACCACCCCATTGGGATCCTCAGATGCATCTCCTCCTGTTGGCGCTCAGCCATACTAAACTGGTACCAAATCACGTTGCCCCTTGGCATGAACTAAAGGCCGGCAGACACAGGCGAGGCCTCCAGCAGAACATGCGTGCTCAAGTACGAGAGCGCCCTGACAAGAAGCGAGCACTGGCGCATTTTTTACTTCGCCGCACCACCCCGCCACTCTCATCGTGACGCAGCAAAACAAGCTGGATATCGTAGTAGCACGCAGAGCAAATACGATGCGCCGTGGCTGCCGCCACTTCTGACAGTGCGGGGCAGTTGCGGCTGAGACTGGCGCAAGCGGAAGGAGCCCGAAACACCCTCCATCCAAGAGGATGGTACGATACGCGCCTGGGGCAC